TCCTTAAAGGTAATTTCTTTTCTTTTTACTGCTACTTATCCTAATATCTTGTATATAATTACTCAATTTGTTCTTCAATGTTCTTTTATTGTATATACCTACCTATTTAGTCATTTATCTAGGGTTTATACACAAATAGATAGTAAAGTTCTCTAATTCATATCATGCTGGGTTAAATTCACTTTAATTTAACAAAAAAATTAATAAATACCTATTATGTGCAAAGTGCTGTTGCTACAAAAAAAAAAATAAAACAAAACCTTCCCTCAAAGGGCTTGCACTTTAAGAACATATCCATTTAATAAGCCACAATAAATCTTGGCACCCTATTGCCCTTTAATTGATTGTTTGTTTATTAATTGTGATTCTCCATGTTCTATATAATGTCCTATTAAATTTACATGTTACTTAATTATACTGAAAACTTTTAAAAGCAGGGGCATTGTTTAATTTGAGCCATGTGAACACAGTAGTACATAGTATTTTTTTGTCTGCACAATGTCCCCTCATGCAAACTAGAAATAAAAACATATTATATATAGTCATGTATTTTACTGATGATTCATAAATTTTATAATTTCAATTTATGCAATGAAAACAACTTTATAAAGAAAAACACCTTTGAATGATCTGATCAATGCAATATTAAATCATGAGTTTAGATGACTAAAAATGAAACATGACCCTTCCCGTCTGCCACAGAGGTGATGGTCTTAAAATACAAAATGTGATATACATTTTTAGATGTGGCCCATGTAAAAATTTATTTTATTGGACTATGAATATTTGTTCTGAAGGTATTATTTTTAATTTTTAAAACAGTTCAGCGAAAACAGTATGAGGGAGAAATAAAGTTTGTAAAATAAATAAAAGAACATATATTTATACATATATACACACATAATACTTTTATAACTAATGCCAACTTTGAGCTTTAACAATAGGAAATTTTAGTGTATTTTTCATCTTTGTTGTCAGAATTTTTAAAAAATTCTTTGTTTGGTGTCAATTTTAATACAACTTAGAAAATGGTATTCTCCTTGTGGTTTCTTAAAGTAGAAAGTTTCAAGATATTTTTAGAAAATCTGGGATGCAGGAGGCTGAATGTAATTTGAAAATCACTACCTGCCCATTCAATTAAAAACAAAACAAATCAAAACTCATGTATAAAGAGCTTAGGTATCCAAATCCAACACACAATTCTATAGTAAAACCTATGAAAATCTCATTTGTTTGGATTTTTTAATTTATTCAGTTTGAACTTTGGGGGAAAATAAGTATTTCTACATTACTTTTGAGAGGTGCTAAGAGAAGATATTAGTGATTTAAATTTTTTTCTCCTAATTTAATCATTTAATTCTAGATGAAACATATAGCCAGTTCCCTGGGAAAATGTAAAAATTTCTCAGGCTGTAATTTCTCCATGAATAGAGTGATATTAAGCCACTTGAATATGCAACCTTTGTTTCTAAAGGAAATAACAGAGGAGAACTGTCATTCATTTTATTAAGAGTAACCCTAGGCTTGAAACTCACTTATACTTCCTGAATATTAATGTTGATAGTAGTTAATACAATATGAAAAAAATTGGCAAATTATATTATAAGAAGACAACATTCTTATGCATGTAAAAATTCTTTTAGGATTTCATTGTTACCAGTATCTAATTGCTATTTTCTCAAGTAAATTTTACAATTCAATTTATCTGCAATAAATTAACTTACCTTTTCATTCTTTTGATAGTTTGTCAATATTAGTGTTGCTGAGGCACTTGAAATTCATATGATCATAATTTATAGGTGGAAGGGTCTTCAGAGGCCATTCAGTCCAACCCCCTCATTTTACAGTTAAGGAAATGGAGAACCAGAGAAATTGTGAATTGCCCAAGTTTATATGTCTAGTAAATGTCTGAGGCATGATTTGAACTTAGTTCTTCCTGATTCCAAATCCAGCACTCTAAAAACTATGTCCAAAACACTAAACACTAGCATGATCATGGATGGTCCATCCATGTTTAAAGATATGACGTCATTTCATTGGTAAATATTGTTGTTGTTGTATTGTTCAGTCATTTTCAACCAGGTACGACTTTTCATGACCCAATTTTGAGATTTTTCTTAGTAAAGATACTGGAATGCTTTGCCATTTCCTTCTCCAGCTCATAGAGAGTGATAATTATTTGCTACAATAGTATGAAAGACTTTTTAGGCCCTTCATAACCTTGCCCTTTCCAGTTATCTTATACCTTACTCCCCTCCTTATATCTTACTCTTGATCCAGTGACACTGGTCTTTTTGATGGTCCTCACACATAATGCTCCATCTGCTGTCTTTATACATTTTCACTGACTCTTCTCCATTTCTGGAATGTGCTACCTCCTAGTTTCTCTGCATTTTTTCAAGTGTCAGATAATCTCAACCTTCTCCAAGAAGACTTCCTCCTTAATTTTAGTGCTTTTTCTCTGAAAATACCCCCAATTTATCTTGCATATATCTTGTTTGTGCATAGTTGTTTGCATACTGTTTCTCTCATACTGAATTCCTTGAAAACAGGGACTGTTTTTTGACTTTCTTTGTATTCCCAGTGCTTAGCACAGTGCCTGGCACATAGTAAGCATTTAATAAAAGCTAGATATTGATTGTCTTAGAATTTGAAATTTTAAGTACCTTCCATTAATGATTACGAGTTGATGTTTATACATTATGGTTAGTTATATAGCAAGCAAGTATTTCCATTGATATGGAAGATGAATTGATTGATCAGATGAAAAAAAAATTTCCAAGTTGTTTTTAGACAGTATTTATTGCCAAGCATTGTAATTTTAATGCAAATTTCATTATTTCTAGGATGTAAGTCCACTCCCTCTGTTATGATCTGGTGATTGTGGGAAAAGAAGATATATGTCTAATAATTTGCCTTCTATTTTTGTTATTTAATTCAGTTTTTCATGTCCATAATCATTATCATGGAGCTTTTTGATAAATTTAGATACTTCTGGAATGTTGCCACCAGAATGATATCCTAGGATAAATAGATATATCCCTGTAATCTTGTGGGAGTGCCACTGACTGACAAATTATCTTTGTCTAGATCTATAATATGACAAAACAATCGCACTATTCAGCCAAGTAGGTTAAACATTTTTTTTTAAAAGCAGTCAAACTCATTACTTAGTGCCAAGTGTACGGAAAAATAAGGGCATATGATAAACACATTTCTTAAAATTAATGTAATTTTTTTCAGATTTCTATGTCTACTTGGAGCTCTTCAAGTAGAATATTATCTGAAATCAGCTATATATGTATCAACATATATGTATGATCCTTAAGGAATGTGGGGGTGACAAGAGCATTGCACTTGGAAACAAAATGTGGGGCAGTTACATCCTTTCTGCTGCTTTCCAGTTGGGAGACTTTGGACAAATAATTTCACTTCTTTGCACCTCATTTGCCCTACTTGTATAATTAGGGAGTTGGACTAGACAACTTCTGATTTCCTAACTACTTCTACTATTCAGATTAAATCTACTATTTTGATTAAAAATCTGAGCCATATTAGTAGATTTCTGAAATGCTGAAACATGTAATGAAAAGTAAACTTTGTTTTGCACACCTGCATTTTATGTTTTAAAGCACAGTGGGATGCATATGTGTGAAACATCTGATCTGTGCTCATTTGCCATTACATTGCATTGTGGCAAATGCAGTAATCTACAGGGTTCTATCTATTTGGAACTCATTTCACGGCTGACTAATTACATAGATGAGAAGGGGAAATAGGTCTGTTTCCTCTAAAGCAAGCTAAGCAGATGGAACAAAGTTCATTCCCACCAGTAGTGTCAAGAAGGTCCTCTACTCAGATGCTAGGGCTTGCATCTATCTGTCAAAAACAGTGTAAGTGCACTCTTAACAAAGCACTTGAGAACACAGTAAGCTTCATGTTTGTTTTGACTAGACAAAACTTTTTGTCATATAAAACACTTAAAGAGGTTATTCATTTGAGGAAATTCAGACATGAGAGGATTAATATTCATTTTAGTTAAGCAACTTAAGTCATCTTTTATTCATTTGGAAATTAAAGGGGAAAATTAGTATCAGGAGAACTGTTAGTTTCCTGAAAGGGGATTAGTAAACTGTACCATGACCTGAAAACACAGTTATCTCTGGGATTGGATCTTTCTAAATATCTAAGTTGAAAGAAGAATAGGGCTTGTATATTAGTAAAATAATTAAGCAGGCACTTTTAAAATCTAATTTTTATTATATGAAGCAATTGTTTATCTATAGTACAGGTATACATGTGCATGAATTATGTAGTTTAATATATTAACAGATTTCTTTTTCTTTGTGTATCAGTCTATCTGCCTATCTTTCTAGCATCTGTATAATTTAATCTATATCTATCTATCTGTTTATCTATGGCATGGTGTAGTAGAGAGCTTCTCGAAATGAGGAAAACTTGGGTTCCATTCCTGCTTCTGACGTATGCTGATTGTGTGACTCTGGGCAAGTCACTTAGCCTCTCAATGATCTAGCCAACTCTCTAATATTGTTAAGTGAAGAAAAGGTGCTGGACTGTTTGGGTAGAGGGAATTTTTTCACCAGGGAGTTTCTGATACCAGTGAAATAACATGTCTAGTCCATGTATATGTGCATGTACATATGTACATGTGCATCCCTCTCATTTATTTATCTATATACCATAGTTTTTATATATAAAGCATGTTTTCCAAAGTTCATTAGTGGCCCTGAGATAATTTACAGCTGAATATCTCATTTAAGAAAGAAAAGCAATCCCAATAGACATATATGTGTAAGTATGTGTGTGTAAGTATGTGTGTGTGTAGTCACCTGGAAATAACATCTTATTCAATAGAATGATTGAGACAGTGACACTGTTTTCTTCCTTGAAGAAAAATGGTCCACCAGATACTTCTCTGAGACCCTGATTCATATATTTTACACATCATTTTCACTGCGTTGATTTCATTCTAATTTCAGACTGATGCAGCTCTAATGTATGATGCTGTCCATGTGGTGTCAGTTGCTGTCCAACAGTTCCCACAGATGACTGTCAGTTCATTGCAATGTAATCGGCACAAGCCATGGCGCTTTGGGACCCGCTTTATGAGTCTAATTAAAGAGGTATGTCATTAAAAAAAAGTGTAGCTGTGTCTCTTTTGTCCTCAAGCTGCATTAACCCAGATAATATACTTGTGATGTTTGTGTTTTCTAGCACATGGAGACTTTTCCTGTATAATTTTCTCTTCCCCCCCCAAAACCATTGGTATTTTCATTTGAAAATGGTTCCAATGCTGTTATTAAAAGAACGATTATTTAATAATGAATACCAAAAAGGAGGGGTAAAATGTATTGTAAATATATGAAATATCTCCTTAGACAAGCTTCCTCAGATTCTATGATATGGTAAATAGAGCCAAAGAGCTAAAACACGAAAGCTTTATTGTGTACCTTTTTGTGGTGTTGCTTTTCTTTTTCTTATTTCTTTTTCTACTGAAATTTATGCAGTCATAAATGCATATAACTTTTTTGTGAAGATTTGTTGCTAAAATCCATAAATTATTTCTTCATGTTAATACGATTTCTTTTGGTCTTAAATTGATGTCTGATGTGATAATTTACATTAATGAGTTCCATAATGGAAATGTCTATATATTATTTCCCAGTAGTTTTCTGGACATAATATCCAATTATTTTAACAACATGAACAATTTACATGTAAGCTATGAATTTGAAAAGGCTATAATTATATCATAAGTTTAGAGCAAGAAGGGGACCTTAGAGATCATCTCATCTATTCCTTCTCCCATTTGATGTATGAGGAAATAGAGTCTCACAGAGGTAAAGCAACTTGCCCGTCGTTGCTTCCCAAATTAGTGAAAGAGTTGAGACTCAAGCCAAGAGTACTTTATTTTACTAATTTCCACCATTCCAAATATTTTTTTCTGGGGAAATCAAACTTTTTGCCACTAGTCATATGATGATCTTATCATGTAGAGAGGATAGAATATTCATTCTCCAGCCACCTGCATCCCCAGCTCAGTGCTCTTTCCACTTGCAAATGCCCTTCAATTTTAAATAGTTTTGAATACTATAGTTTTACAATTTTGAATGTGAAACCAAATAATATAAAAAGCTGATTATTTCAGAGAAGATGTGATTGTCACTGAAATTTGGATATAAATTTTCCTGTATGTAACTTTCTTCACAGTAAACACACAGAGAAATTTTGCTTTAGTATGAATCTAGAAGTAATATTTTATTCATTTCAATCTGAGGGAGCTGGCCTTAGAGTCAAGAAAACTTAATTTCTAGTCCCCCTCCCACATATTGGAGATATGCAACCCTGAGCAAATCACTTAACCACTCAGTGCTCTAGGAAGCTCTGAGTTACAAAGGCAACTGACTCTGATACAGGGTGTTATCTCACTGAGTGTTCCCTAGATCAATAAAAGCACAGATCTGGGACTTATCCCTAGCCTATTTCAATCATGCACATATATTATAAAAGAGCAGTCTAGATCATCTCAGAAGAGAATACAAAATACTTTTGTTGTTTTCCTTTAAATAATCATCTGAAAGGTAAATTATTTAAAGTTGATGAACTATTACTCTTTCCATCCTGGGAGACATTCATTTGTTTTCCCTTTACCTTTTACTTAATTATAGACATTATTTTTTCTTTCCTCCTAGGCCCACTGGGAAGGCCTCACAGGCAGAATAACTTTCAACAAAACCAATGGCTTAAGGACAGATTTTGATTTAGACGTGATCAGCCTGAAAGAGGAAGGCCTTGAAAAGGTACTTGAGACTTTTAACTTACTTGGAATAGGATATAAAGTATAAAACAACTCCTTCTTCCCTATGAAAAGAGTGCTAGGTTGTGCTCTCACATCTCACTGAACACAGGGATATATTTTACTTCCATGAATGAAGTTACATTTAATGAATATCTCAACAAAACAAATTTCCCTTTATAATCACTGAATTAGAGAATTGGCATACATTAGTGAATGGAGTAAAGTGTTCCTTTAGGCAATTTGAATATTTTTATTTGTGCCACATGTTTTTCCTATCACTTTGAGAGGCACACCATGTTGATTAGTTTTAGTATCTCATTATCATTATAATTTAAAAGACTTGGTTTCCCATAGGTATTCGTATATAGTTTATATCCATTTAGAATTGTAGAGAACCTGCCACCTTATGTAAGAAAAATAATCAAATAAGAAAGTATATTCTTAACTCTGGGTCATATTAAACAATTAAACAAAAAAAAAACCAGTTAAAGCATAGTTAATTTAACACATGTATATTTCATTTTCAAAATATATCAGGCCACCTACAAAATATTTCTTCAGGGAGCTGAACCCACTGTCTTAGAAAGCAAACTGTAGGAAGGGACTGGGAATGATAACAGAATATTTGTTTAGCTTAAAATTATTTGAATTTAATTTTGCTTATATTTATAAAGGACCCAGCAAGGTGTTTTCCTAAGAGATGCATTGGAAATCATAGATAAAATAAATATTTAGGTGGACAGATGAGGGGAAGTTGTGATTGAGGTAAATATTATTTTAGAGTAAGTTGGATGTTTTATGAGAGGCAGTATGGTGGATGGAGAGAGCTTGCCTTACATTCAGGAAGAGTTGGGTTCAAGTCTTGCCTCTGACATACTCTAGCTTTGTGACTATGGGCATGTCACTTAAATTCTCAGTGCCTTAAGGTAGGCAGCTCCTTAAGACTATATGTCACAGATGTCATATATCTGCATTGGTGTCATGTGTTTGTTGCATACTTGGTGGAGAGAATTTCTTCCCGTGTTCACTGGAGGTTCCATGTATTGATAAAATCTCACAAGTCCTCATCTTCTACAATTTTCAGTATAAATAGCAAGTTCAGTATTATTCCTGGAAATGTAGGACCCTGGACTCATCACATTATATCCTACTCCCTTCCAAAATATTCACCCCTAAAGTTTCCAAACAGGAAAACTTCCAAACAGAAAAAAACTTCCCTGAAAGAGAATAGGAATAACAAAAGGACAGATTGAAAGATCTGTGTAGAAGGGAAAATAGCAATCCCATTTACCTTGCTTTGGTCTTGATGGTGGATACCTTATAAAGTTGTTTGTTTATTATTCCCCAAAAAAGTCCTACTTGAGTATCTCATAGTGGTGCACAGGTGATACAAGTTTCTTGGAGGTCGATCCAATGACCAATAAGTTGAATGAATCATACCAATCTAAACATTTTTACTATAAACAAAATGAGAGGACAGAAGGAAAGGGCAAATAAATGGAAGGATGGCTCACAGGTTCTCTTTTGAAAGGCAAATAAGTGGATTGTTAACAATGATTTTTAGTATGTATCCAAGAGCAACAAGAAACATGATTGCATGTGATATTTTGTTATCTTGTATTACAGTGGTCATGATAAATAGTTGCAAAAAGATAATTATGAAAATAATTGTAGTCTGTGCACCAAAATCTATAGCAGAGGATAAAAAAGTAGATAAATTCTAGAAGAATTTAATAAAACATTTCAAGTTAAATAAATGTACACTTAAATATTTGATAACTTCAATTTCAGGTAGGCTTAGGTGAGAATGGCATAAAATATGCTGAAAATAAGAAGAAAGAATAAGGAATGAGAGAGGCCAAAGATTTATAGACTGTAAGAAGCCTTTTACCTATATATCATGGATATTTTCTTTTACAAAAAATTAGAAGATTCTAGACATAGCAAATAGAATGACATCACAAAATGAAATAAATTCTCTATTAATAGATAGAGAACAAATTAAACAAACAAATCATCGCTGATGTGGGAATCATTCCTAAATCAGCTATCTGTATATGGACTGAACATCGACCTCTTAGAGCAAAGATCAAAATTAGTGTAAAGCCAAAAGAAAGGATATATATAAGAAAAAGATAGGTGTGATTAAATCAGTTCTAATCTTATGTATGTCAACTATTTGTTAGAAACTAAAAATCAAATATATACAGGATATAGAAACCACACTAATTTTAATAATTTCATACAATTTAATAAAATTAAGTAAATTGTAATAGCAAGGACAGCACAAGAGACTAAAAAGCATCTTAGCAAACATTTCTTACTTAAAAACAAAGACACATGGCGGCCAAGGAAAACAGTGGTTTACAGTATAAACTCATTTCTAATATCTTACAGAAAAGGAAGAAGGAAGGTTATATCACAAAACAAAGTGGAGCAATAAACCAGTTTAAAAACATTTGATGAGAGATCCAAATTAGTATAGTCATCCTGAATGCATGTAAGGATTAAATAGAGAACAAGAAGTAGAAAATGGAAAAGACTTGAAAGTTTTCAAAAATTATAACTTTTTCATCATCAAGGAAGGTATAAGCACTGAACTTCGATTCTAACATCACAGTCTGCTATATACTTTATAGAAAAGATGGAAATGCCACTAAAGGAAGAAAGGCAAAAAAAAACAGCAACTAGATTAGACCAAGGGTAATTAGAAGAGATCCTTCCCAGAGGTGACACAATTGTGAGGACATTGAGGGATTGATTCAAAACGTGTGGAAAATATGGAAGAAACAACAAAGGTATTAAAAAAAATCTTAAGCATTATTAATAACCAAAAGGAGATGGCTGAGAGAACTTTATTGCTTATCAATAAATATGCCTATTTTCCTGTTTAATAACATTTTTATGAGAATAATTTATATAATTATAAAGGACATCCTTGATGAGATATTAGGGAAGTAAGTTCAGTCAGGTAGTCAATAAACACTTATGAAGTGCTTATTATAAGCCAGGGACTGTGCTAAGAGCTGGAGATATGAAAAAGGGGCAAAAGACATCCCTACCATCAAGAAGCTCACAATCTAATGGGAGAGAAAATAAGTCAACAGATATGTAGGAATAAGGTATATATGTATATATACATATACATGCGTATATATACATATATATGATAAATAGAAAATAATTAACAGAGGGAAGGCACTAGAATTAATAGGGGTTGGTAAAGGCTTTCTCTAGAAGGTGAAGTTTTAGTTATAACTTGATGAGAGCCAGGGAAGACACAAGGAAGTGATGAGTAAAGAGAACATTTGAGCCATAAGTAACAGACTGAGAAAATACCTGGAGTAGAGAGGTGTAGTGTTTTCCACAAGTAAAAAGCTTTTTTTACAAGTAAACTTTCACAGTAGTCTAGATCTTTACTATCATACAATTGACTAAAAGATGTAGAGAATGAGATCCCACTGTGTTTATTGTTGACTGTAAAATTTAATAGAGCAAAATTCTACTCTAAAACTCTTTCAATAAGGTATTTCCCAACTGTATATCAAAATTACGTTTAAAAATCTTGAAAAATATAACAGAGATAATTTTGTCCTAGGAACCTCTGACCATAAAATCATGTGAGGGATACTGCAGCTGGCATAGTCTCCAGAGGTGTTTGCCCATGCTAAGGGAGAAATCTAGCACAGTATTCAAATTGAAGAGGAATTTGCAATAGATGATGAATTCTGCAGATGATATTGCATGTCAAGCCTTGAAACACTGCAAAGTCTTCCATATAATATTCATAATCAATAAACAGCACTTGGCTTAGCCACCCACACAGGAAAAACCAAGTAGATGAATAATACTTACTGTCCATATCATGATGTGCTTAAATGGATTACATGTAAAACTTATCTATATCAGTTTGTGTATGTCTAGCTCTTTCCATCTCTCTGTGTCTCCTTCTGTTTCTCACTGTTTCTGCTTGTCTGTATCAGTCTGTCTCTTTCTTTCTCTCAAGTCTCTCAGGTGGGCCAAAACTTAGAAAGGAGTAGGAGAATGAGAAGGATTGACTTTGGTAAATTTCAATGTTCCTTTAATGATCCCAAATTTATCTCAGAAATAAAGATCTACCTTTTTTAATGCCAATATTCTTCCAGGGATGTGGTCCCAAAGCTGTAAGTCACTATAACATTATAGTCTCTTAAAAAATGTTTTTCACTCTGAGGGCAATGTGAAAACACATGGTGGATGTGAACAGGCTATCACTACAGCACTTAAATAATAAAGAAATAAGTATAAGGCAGAGTATAGTGTTCTGTTTAAGAAACATGTGACAAAAAAAAAAGGACGAGATGTCATGTGACATGAGCAAGGATTAAGTACTGGACAGCCTTTGAGCTTCGTTGATAACCTTATGATGTCAAAAGAAAGCAAGGAAACTCCCCAAAATGTTGAATGGATGCTGAGTATGATAAACTTATTTGAGAATATGGACTAGTGTTATACTGGATGGGTGTGCAGGCATATAGTATAAACTGTGATTTGTAATATTGTAGAGTAGAAATGTAAAAAAATGTGACCCACGGGCTACAAGAGGCCTGCAGTACTCCTGAGTGCTACTCATAACATTTTAAATGCAATTGGGACATATTTAATAAAATGAATTTAAAAACACAATAAAACATAGTTTTTCTAAGTCAATAATTTCTTGCAGGGATCCTATATACAGTTTAATAACCCCTGTTTCTATGTAAATTGGATATCATTGCTGTAGAGAATATATGCCTCAGTGAGGTCATATACATGTATACATACATACACAAATATCCATAGATGTTTATTTAGCCTGACACATAATATGCACTTGACAAATATTTGTTGATTTTTTTTAAAGGATAAGCTTTCAGAGCAAGGATCAGCTTATGAAAGCAATGCATAGTTTCTGATATGTCATTCTGTCTTACCTCCTCTTTATTTCTGGTCTGCCTTGTTGTCCACCTACATAACCTTTCT